AGAGGCAGTGAATTACACAAGGTTGATCGCCCATCTTTTTCCTGCAGAGGAGCTGGTGGATTTGAACTGTATGTCTTTGGATTGATAATACAGTTCTTTACCATTAGACTACCAGTGCTCCCATTAAAGCTCTGCTATTAGGTGCTGTCAAGTTGAGTATGACTCATAGTGACCCTATGAAGAACAGATCTGAACCCTGACCTATTCTGTGTTATCTTCATACTTCCTGATACATGAGAGCCCATTGCAGTCATCACTGTGTCAATCCACCTGGTTGAAGGTCTTCCTCTCCTTTACCTACCCTTCCTGGCGTCATGTCCCTCTCCAAGGAATAGCCCCTCCTAGCAACATGCCTGAAGTATCCCAATCTAGATCATTTCCTATACAGCCATCTTTAAATGATCTTCAGCAATATTTTGCTTGCATGTGGTATTAATGATATTGTACAGTAGTTTCCACATTCAGCCCACATCATCCTTGCCTCAAAACAGCACTCTAGCTGCACCCTCTCCAACATATACTTGTTTGTTCTTTTGGCAGTTCATGGGATGTTCTGTTCTCTCTGTCACTACAACTGAAAGGCATCAATTCTTCTCCTGTCACCCCATTCATTGTCCAGCTCTCAGATGCACAGCCAGTGGTTGGAAAGACAATGGCCTGAATCAGCCTCTTCTTAGTTCTCAAACTGACATCCTTACTTCTCAATAATTTGGAGAGGTCCCTAACTGCAGTCTTACCCAGAGTGCAGTACATCTTATTTCCTAACTGATGGTACCAAGGGTGTTACTTGTGTATCCAAGTAATATGAAGTTGTTGACAATTTCAGTCTCTTCTCCATCCATCATGATGTAAGAAGGTCGTTTTCTTGACATTGAGATGTAATTAATATTGAAATCTTCATTCCTTGATCTTCTGCAACAAGTGCTTCAAGTCCTCCTTACTTTCAGCAAGCAGATTATGATTATGTATCATCTACATAATGCAGGTTATTGATCAGTCTCCCTCTAATTCCTTCATTAGAGTCCAGCTTCTTGAATAATTTGTTCAGCATTCAAATTGAATAGGTATGGTGAGAGAATGACCCTGACACACTCCCTTGTCAATTTTAAACCATGCAGTGTTCCCCTACTCTGTTCACACAACAGCCTCCTGGTCCAGGTATAGGTTTCACATGAGCGCAATTAAGTGCTCTGGAACTCCCATTCCTTTCAATGTCAGCCAAACTTATTATGATCCACACAGTCAAATGCCTTTGCATAGTCAATAAAGCACATAGAAATATTCTTCTGGTATTCTTTACTTTCAGCCAGAATCCATCTGACATTAGCAATGATATCCCTAGTGCCATGGCCTCTTCTAAATCCTGCTTAAACTTCTGGCAGTTTCCTATCAAGATAGTTCACTATCTAGCTGTTTTTAAATGACCTTCAGCAATATTTTGTTTGCATGTGATATTAATGATATTGCCCAATAATTTCCACATTCAGTTGGATTACCTTTTTCGGAATGAGAACAAATATGAACTTCTTCCAGACTGTTGACCAGACAGTTGTCCTCCAAATTTCCTTCCAGAGACTGGTGAATACATCCAAGGCTGCATCCATTAATAAAACAAGTCAGGCGGTATCCTGTTGGTTCCTGGGGTCCTATTTTTTACCAATGCCTTCAATGCAGCTTCCACTTCTTCTTTACCAACTGCTCTTGCTCATATGGCACTTCCTGAAATTTTCCAGTGTCATTCTTTTTGGTACAGTGATTCTGAGTATTCCCTCCATCATCTTTTGATGCTTCTGGGTCATTCAGTCTATTGCTTATACCATCTTTCAATATTGAGACTTGAGGTTTAAATTTATTTTTCTGTTCTCTTAGCTTGAAAACTGCAGAGTGATTATCTTCCCTTTTTATTCTCCAATTCTAGCTCTCTACACATCCCATTATACTACTTTTCTTTGTCCTCTGGAGCTGCTCTTTGAAATCTTCTGGTCAGCTCTTTACTTCAGCAAGCTTCCCCCTTGGTTTGACCTCTTGATGCTCCCATGCAATGTTTAGAGTCTTTTCTAACATTGATTTTGGTTTATGTACAGGTGTGTTGCAGCCAACTCATAGTGGACTCTCCAGTTGGTTTTCAGAGGTAGTAAATTCTATGGAAGGCAATTGCTCATCTGTTTCCTAGAGAGTAGCTGGCAGATTCGAACTATCTACCTTTGGGTTAGCAGCACAATTTCTCTCCCCACTAAGCCCTCAGAGCTGCCTTTTATAAGAATTAGCTATCTTATTTAAGAATTTTGCCTAAATATATGACTGTCAGACATCTACCTAAGATACATTAGAGAAGTTCCTTCACTAATGTTGACATTTTCTTCATAAAATAATTTTGGAGTCTACATAAATGATTGTGAACTTAGAGGTCTAACACATGGAGCATGACTTCATGTAATACTTTTAACTTAGAAAGTTGAAAGAGATTAGAAAGTCACATTTACCAAAATGGAACAACTAAAGACCGAGAACTCAGGGAACATAGAAGTTCAAGAAAAAAAGAAAAAAAAAGGATCAAAAGAATCAGATTCTACATTACTGTGGAGTTTATTGTTCAAAGTGGCTTTCTTAGCCATTGAACTTGACTTTGCCTTGTGGATGGGTGGGACTATGTAAATGGGGTGTGTTAGCCTATCTAGAAGGGAATTGGCTAGTCTCACCGTCTAGTTTCACTATTAAATTGAGCAAATCTGACAGCAGAATTGTAAGATTTTCTCTGCTAGCAAAGAAGTAAGAGTATGTAGCATGTCCTTCAGGCCGAATAATTCTTGCATCAACTGGACACGAGCTAGACCTTTGGCAGCAGCAGCCATGGCTGAAACAGGATCAGAGACCCAAGATGGAATGGAACTGACTTTAGGATTGCTACCCCACATGGAAACAGAGCTGAGGGAGAGCCAATATTGGCAGGATTGAGAATTTTCTAACATCCTAAGCGATGAGGCTCAAGGCTGAGATGCAAGTGAGCACATTTCACATTTCAAAAGCTCTCTTGACTGTATTCTGCTGCTAACCTGAATTATATAGCCTTTTACTTCTCCATTAAGGTACTGTCTGGTCTGAGAACTATTGCATCAGATTTGGACCCACTAAAACAGTAAGATTGACACTCAGATTAATAGAAAGAGATACAGGAGCGTGTGTGTGTGTGTGTGTGTGTGTGTGATAGTTCCCCTTTGTGAAGTTGGTAAAGGTCAGATGTGGCCATCCCCACATGGCCTTTGCTCATTTTAAGAAAGTTTTTTATTATACTAGTTATATTGTTTTCCAGACACATTCTTCCAATTCCTCTCACCCCCACCCACCAATTTATGTTGTTGTTGTTATGTGCCGTCGAGTCGCTTGCGACTCATAGCGACCCTATGTACAACAGCCCTAAACTCTGCTCTGTCCTGTGCCAGTCGCACTGTCTCTGATACTCCCATCCCGATTATCCCAGTCACTGAATCAGTCCACCTCATAGAGGGCCTTCCCCTCCTGCGCTGTCCCTCCACCCTCCCAAGCATGATGTCCTTCTCCAAGGACTGGTCTCTCCTCACATGTCCAAAGTATGTTAGACGGAGCCTCAGAATCCTTGCCTCCAAGGAGCCACTCGGTTTAACCCTTTCCAGGACGAATCTGTTTGTTTTCCTAGCAGTCCATGGTATTCTCAATACTCTTCTCCAGCACCACAGCTCAAAGGCATCAATTCTCCTTCTATCCTCCTTGGTCATTGTCCAACTCTCTGATGCATAACAAGTGATTGTGAAGACCAGGCCTGTTATCAAATGCACCTTATTCTACAGAGAGACACCATTGCTCCTCAGTACTTTGGAGAGGTCCCTAACAGCAGACTTTTTCTGGCTACTGGTGCCAAGAGTGTTGACTGTGGAGCCAAGCAAACTAAAGCTGTGTACAATCTCAGTCTCTTCACCATCCATTCTGATGCTGCCAATTGTTCCAGTGGTGAGAATCTTTGTCTTCTTGACATTGAGCCTCAATCTATATTGGAGGCTGCAGTCCTTGACCCTCTGCAGTAGGTGCTTCAGGTCCTCTTCAGTTTCAGCAAGCAGGGTTGTGTCATCCGCATAACGCAGATTGTTGATAAATCGTCCCCCAATCTTGGCACCACATTTCTCCTCATAGAGCCCAGCCTCCCGGATAATCTGTTCTGAATATAGGTTGAAAATTTATACAACTCATAATTAATCCCCCTCCCTCTGCACATCCTCATCCCTTTGCTTCCACCCTCCCCCACCCCTTTGGATCCTTATACTCATTCTGCAATACTGGTTTTATGTAATATTTGTCCTTGTGGGACTAAGTTAGTTCATTCATATAATGCTCTCCATTCCCTCCCAGGTTAGGTAATAATTTACAAAATCATTGTTCCTGTGTGTTGCATAGTATTCCATTGTGTGAATATACCATAATTTCTCAATCCATTCGTTTGTGGTTGGACACTTTGGCTTTTTTTCATGTTCTTGCGATGGTGAATAATGCTGCTATGAACATTGATGTGCAAATCTCTCTTTGTGCCTTAGTTCTCATATTCTCTGGGTATATTCCAGGTAGTGGAACAGCTGGGTCATAGGGAATTTCTATGTTCAGCTTGCCCTTGCTCTTTTTAAAGTAATTAGGATGAAAGGAGGGAAAAAGTAATCCGAATGAGTACTAAAATGACATAACTGAATTAGAAAAATCGTATTATTGATGACCTTAGAAGAAAGAAATTTCATTAGAATTATGGGTGTGGAAATTCTATTGAAGAGAATAAAAGATTGAATAACTGCTAGTGGAGGAAAAGCTTCAGAAATGTGATAGAATTATGGAATGTTTGAATTGTAGATAATACTGCATGAAACATTGTTAGTGGATAGTCATCTTGCCTTTTATACTTAATTTAGAAGACTTTAACATGATATTTACTTAATCTTAACATATTTTCATATGTACAACTGTTATTTCTTTTAATTCTACAGAAAAATGTATCATGACTATATATGCCAATATAAAGACGTTTTGAAGCAATACCAATTAAAATATTCAGAAACACCTTTTTCACGTGAATATTATAAGAAGAAAACTGAACATGAAGAAATTAAAAAGAGAGTATTAGCGTGTTCTGAACAACTGAAAATGAATGAAAATATTTTTATGGAATTTCTAGGTAACAACATTTTTGTTATATATTGCTTTAATAATGGTATTATTTGTAATTAAAAGAACATAATATGTAAATCTGTCTAAAATATGGTTTTGTTTTTCAGTGCCTGCTCCCTTTCCATCACTTACTAAATGGGCATTATACATGTATCCACACTGTATTGCTATCTAGAATTTTTATTAGATCAGAATTTCCATATTTTAAATTTTTATTATATTTCATTTTATGTGTTTTTTGCTTAGTGAAAATTATAGTTTACTTGAATGATCATGTGACACTAGCTTTCTCTTATGACCATGAGAAGAGAAGCAAACAATTTTATAAAGATAAAATGATATGTAGCTGTAGCTTTTAGTGGTACATTTTTAAAAAAATTTTGGAGTTTATTAGCAAACTTAATTGATTACAGTTGAGGTTGGAAACAGGATACAACGCTTCTTTAAGGACAGCTTCTCAGGTGTCCTTGCAGGCCCTCTGACCTTCAGCCTCACTGGACTCTGTCTCTAGACTCTGGCCTGGAGTTACACAGCTTTTTTGTTGTTGTTGTGTCATCAAGTTGGAACAGACCCGTAACTGATCACCTGGTAGGTTTTCAGAAGCAGTTAATTGCACAGGAGAAGATTGCCCAATTTTCTCCTGTGGAGGAGCTGGTGGATTTGAACCAAGTATGTTTGGGATTTCAACACAGCTTGTTGTTACTAGGCCATTAGAGCTCCCATTACTGGTAAATCTTAAGGAAATTGTCATTTTCCTCTTTATTGGTTATATTTACTTAGATAGAAAAAGGTAGAAGACTCACAATTATTTACTCATCTGTAGAATCTGTTGTTTGTCAGACAATACCAAAAACTACACAAAGCTTTTTTTCCAAAGAGTTTACAATTTATTAGGGGAGACAGGTATATAAAGAAATAATCTGATATGGTAGATGTTTGTTGCTATTATGTACTGTCTAGTCAGAACCAACCCATAGCTAACCCTCCAGCAGGTTTTCAGAGACAGTGAATCGGACAGGAAGAGATTGCTTATCTTTATCTTGTGAAGCAGCTGGTGGATTCTGTATGTCTTCAGGTTGGCAGCACAGCTCCTTACCACTAGGTCACTAGAGCTCCCTAGATACTTAAATAACTCTGTGTGTACTGCCTATTTTGCCAGAGAAATCTTCCTGATAATGAACAGAATTTTAATCCTCTTCCAGTTTCTACAAAATCTTTCATGTCTTTTTCCCTACTACATTGTGACATCATTATTGATGCTAAATATTTTAAATATATGCATTGTGCTTTGCTTCCTCTGTGCTTCACCCTAAATCACCATTCTTTTAGCTATTGCTTGCTCAATTAATGTTTTTGCTTCACTTGATTTTATTCTTAGATACTCATTTGCTGACCACCAGTGTTTAACTTATCAATGGAGAGGGGTAGAGGTTGTTAAGTGCAAAAGGTTCTTCATGGGTTTAGAATAGAATATGAGATGAGATGAGATGTAAGGCAGCATAATAAAAAAGAAGAATGGATGTAGAAAGAATTTAGTTTAGCATTTAAATCCACCAGCTGCTCTCAGGAGAAAGATGGGCAGTATCCTCGTGTGCAAATTACAATCTCTGGAAACCTGCTGGAGGGTCAGCTATGAGTTGGTTCTGACTTAACACCAGGCTTTTATTTTGGTTTCCATACCTAAAACTTAAAGTAAGGTCTTTAATTAAAACAATGTAACAAACAATAGTCATTTGACATTTTGTGTTCTGGCATCTAGATCATATTTTTTTTAGATCATATTTTTAAGGCAAACAGTAAAGGTCTAACAAATTTTCTTCCAATTTTTTTATTGCTACTGTTCCATTTTTATTAATTTCTCTAAGTGGATTGTGGATTGATTTAGGAAATTTTTTTAGCTAAATCACACAGTACATCTGTTAGTAGCTGAGAAATTCTCTCCATGGAAGTAGGCATAAATCGAGGTCAAACAGAAAATCCAGATGTAAGAGCTAGCCTTCTTTTATATTTTTCAGAGTACAACCACAAAAACCTTATAAAGTAGGAAAATTGAATGAATTTCATTGTTGGCTTTTTTTTTTCTTTTTTAATACGGAACGCTTCACGAATTTGCGTGTCATCCTTGCGCAGAGGCCATGCTAATCTTCTCTTTATCGTTCCAATTTTTTTTTTAGTATATGTGCTGCCGAAGCGAGCACCATTGTTGGCTTTTGAACCAATAAATTATAGAAATAATAATTTATAATAGTGGAAATAATTCACCATATATTATCAATGATACCAAATCATATGATCATCTTCGTTACCAAACCAAAATAAAAAATAACACCCTATAAAGATACTGAAATGAAAGAAAAACATCCCAACATATTTTTATGAAATGTTTTTAATCTTAGAATGTAAACAACATAAGCAATAAATTATCTCTGTCAAGCTATGTTTATTTTACCTTTGTTTTCAGATATTAATTATTGTTTGTATGGAACATACATAGAAATAATGTTACATAATCTTATTGCTGATATACTAAATATATAATAAGTAAAAAACTTGCTTGCATGGCATAGTTCCTTAACATAAAAAGGGTTAATATGAGATGTAAGACACAAGAAATTATTAAAATTGCCAATAATTTTACCAAAAGTTCATCTGAATTGAAGAAAGAAGTAGATGAAGTGGAACTGGAAATTAATTACTTAAACCAGGTATTTATTAATATTTTTCTAATATATAAATGCTTACATATAATGATGTGGTAACCATATAGCTGTTAGATACTAAAGTTGCTCCAACTTATAGCAACTCTATTTATGTGCAACAGACAATATTGTTGTTATGTGCCGTTGAGTCACTTGTGACTCATAGCGACCCTATGTACAACAGCCCTAAACTCTGCTCTGTCCTGTGCCAGTCTCACTGCCTCTGACACTCCCATCCCGATTACCCCAGTCACTGAATCAATCCACTTCCTAGAGGGCCTTCCCTTCTTGAGCCATCCCTCCACCCTCCCAAGCATGATGTCCCTCTCCAATGACCTGTCCATGATCTATATAGAACATGGCCCAACAGACTATATACAACTTCTAAAATGTATTACATCTCAACATCAAGAACACAAAAATCCTCAGTACTGGACCAATTGATGACATTATAATAAATCTAGAAAAGATTGATGTTGTCAATAGTTTGATTTTACTTTGATTTACAATCAGTAATCAATGGTAGCAGCAGTCAAGAAATCAGAAAATGTGTTGCATTAAGAAAATCTGTTAAAGACCTCTCCAAAGTGGTAAAGAGAAAGGATATCAGTATAAAGACAAAGGTGCACCTAATCCAAGCCATAGTCTTTTTCTATTACTCTTGTGTATCTGAAAGTTGGACAGTTAGTAAAGATGAGAGAAGAAGAATTGATGCCTTTGAATTGTGGTGTTGGAGAAGAATGTTGAGTATCTCATGGACTGCCAAAAGAACAAACAAGTCTATGTTGTAGGAAATGCAGTCAAGGCCTTCTTAGAAGCAAGGATGTTATTGTTATGTGCTGTCAAATCGCTTGTGCCTCTTAGCGACTCTATGATACTAAGAGCCCTAAAATACTGTTCTATCCTGTGCCAACCTCACTGCCTCTGACACACCTACTCCCACCACCCCAATCACTGAATTGATCCATCTCATTGAGGGTCTTCCTCTTCTGCACTGTCCCTCCACTCTCCCAAACATGATTTTCCTCTCCAAGGACTGGTCCCTCCTTGCAACATGCCCAGAGTATGTCAGATGAAGCTTCAGAATCCTTGACTCCAAGGAGCAGCCTGGCTTCACCCTCTCCAGGATAAACCTGTTTGTTCTCCTAGCAGTCCATGGTATATTCAACACCCTTCTCCAGCACCACAACTCAAAGGCATAAATTCTTTCTACCATCCTTAGTCACTGTGCAGCTCTTTGATGAATAGCATGCAGTTGTAAAGACTATGGCTGGGATCAGGCACACCTTAGTCTCCAGACTGATGTCATTGCTCTAAAGTACTCTGAAGATGTCCCTGACAGCTGACTTTCCCAATGCAGTTCATCTCTTGATTTCTTGGCTGCTGGTACCAAGATTGTTGACTGTGGAGCCAAGCAAACTAAAACTGTTAACTATCTCAGTCTCTTCATCATCCATACTGATGTTGCCACTTGGCCCAGTTGGGAGAATCTTTGTTTTCTTGATGTTACGCTTCAATCCATATTGAAGGCTGCAGTCTTTGACCTTCTGCAGCAAGCATTTCAGGTCCTCCTCAGTTTTAGCAAGCAGGGTGTGTCATCTCTGTAATGCAGGTGGTTAATGAATCTTCTGTCAATCTTGATGCCACATTCCTCCTTGTACGGCCCAGCGCTCCAGAAGTAGGAAGGGATGGTGGTGGGTAGGGAAAGGGTTGGGTCAAAATATATGTGGCAAGGGTGGGTAGAGCATTGGATCTATCGGTCATGTTTCTGATTTGGTAAATGTGTTTCACCTGTTTTTTCTCTGTAAAATTCTTGTCTGCCAGATACTATTATAAAGAAAACCAACACAACACCCCAAAACAAACCCCAATTACAAATTAAGGTAGACTAGGAAGAAGGATTGGCCATCCACTTCCGAAATAAAAGGTTTCAAAAACCCCATGTACGATAGAGCACACTTAGACTAGTAGACATGGCAATTGAGACTGAGATCGCAGGTATGGAACCGCAAAGAAGGAGGAAAATATGTAAGCAGACACTAGTTATTGGAACATGGAATGTGAGAAGCATGAGTGTAGGAAAATTGGACATTGTTAAGAAAGAAATGGAACACAAATATTGACATACTAGGTATTGGCAAAATGAGATGGCTTGGCATATTTTGAATCAGATGATCATGTGATCTACTATGTCAAGGATGAAAACATTAAGGAAAAAATTGGGTTTTCATTATTTCAAAAGTCATTTCTAGATCCATCATGAAATACAATGTGGTGAGTGGCAGGATAATATCCATATGCATACAAGGAAGTCCAGTGAGTACCACTATTATTCAAATGTATGCATCGACAACTAGAGCCAAAGAGGAGGAGATGGAAGATTTCTACCAACTTTTGCAGTCAGAAATTGATTGAACATGCAATCAAGATGCATTAATAGTAATAATGGGTAACTGGAATGCAGAAATTGGGAACAGGGAAGAAGGAGGCAAGGATAGTGAAACTTTATCTTATATTTTGAGCATGTTGTCAGAAGCAACCAGCCATTGAACAAAGACATCAAGCTGGGGAAAGTGGAGGGTCAGAGAAGGAGATGAAGATCTTCAATGAGATGAATGAACAATGAACTGGAGCATATCAAAGATGCTGAGGATCTCTTGTTCGTACGGATGCTGAGTCATAGTTGACTTGCTAGCACCTAACAACATATACAAGATAAAATTCAACCCAATCCTGCACCATACTCATAATATCTACTCTCTCGGCTGGTGCAGTCATTGGGTATGTAAATCTATCTCATTGAGGATCTTCATCTGTTTCTTGAATTCTACTTTTACAGACATGATAGCCTTTCCAGATACTGGCCCCAGATAACATGCCCACAGCATGTAAGACAAAGTCTCACCAACCTTGCTTGCAAGGAATACTCTGCCTGCACTTCATCCAAGGCAGATTTCTTTGATCTTTTGGTAGCCCATACAGTTAATGTGCAACATAACTTAGAAGGACAAATTCTAAGACAGCTGATAAAGACTTAACATATGGCTTAAGAATTTAAAGTTAATTAAAAAAGAATTTTCACTGAATTTACAGATATGTTTGAAATAGTAAATGAATGGTTGTTGTTAATGCGCCATCAAGTTGCCTATGACTCATAGTGACCCTAGGTACAATATCTCTGGGCCTTGCCCTATAGTGATCTAGTTTCACTGTCTCTGACACACCTACTCCCTTTACTCTGTCTCAAACGAGTCTTTCTCTCCTGCCCTGTTCCTCCACCCTTCCAAACATGATGCCCTTCTCCAGGGTCTGGTCCCTCCTGGCCACATGCCCAAAGTAGGTGAGACAGAGCTTCAAAATCCTTGCCTCTAGGAGCAGCTTGGTTTCACCCTCTCCAGGATAAACCTGTTTGTTGTTGTTGCCATCCATAGTATGGTGAATACTCTTCTCTAGTACCACAACTCAAAGGCATCAGTTCTTTTGTCATCTTTGGTCATTGGGTAGCTCTCAGATGCATGGCAAATAATTGTGAAGTCCATGGCATGGAAGTTTCAGAGTACAAAGTAAACAAAATAATTTTTCCAGCAATGAAAGAAACAAGGCATATTTAGGAACCAGTTCTAAGAGAATTTAGGAACATCTAAGAGAATGAAATACCTACGAATAAATATAATGCAGAGACATGAAGCATTTATACAATGAAGAGTACCAAACACTGCTGAAAGAGATTAAACAAGACTTAACCAAATGGAGTGATGCTCCATTTTCATGAATTATAAGATTTCAAAGTATTAAGACATCTGTACTACACAAAGCAATCTAAAGATTTTAAAAATAATCCATTTTCATATCTAGAATGACAAGAGACCTCAAGTAGCTAAAACAACATTGCAAGAAAAAAGTAAGGTAGGAGGACTCACGTTTCTTAATTTTAAAACATTGTTCTTGGAAAAATAGAGCATCAGCAAAGGAAAAGATGACCTTCAAAGAGACAAATTGGCTCAATAATGGATTTAATCACAACAGAGATGTGAGAATGGCATAAAATGGAGCTGTACTTAGGATTCCTGTGAGTCAGAGCTGACTCATTGGTTTCTAACAACAACATACAACTGCAGTAATTAAAGCAGCCTAGTAGAAATGTAACAGTAGAGACAAAAATCAATGGAATAGACTTGAGCATCCACTAATAAATATATTCATCTGTAGTTAACTGATTTCTGTCAGAGGTGCTAATAAATTTATTTGATGAAAAATTGGTTGGCACTGAAGTACCATATGAACAAAAGCCAATGGTAACAGTAAGTACAAGCTGAATTGAAAACGTGATTAAAATAAGGCCCCAGGAATAGATGTGTTACTGATTGACATGTTTCAACTAACAGATGCAACCCTACACATGCTCACCTGTCTATGCCAGGAGATTTGGAAGAGAGCTGCCTGCTTGGCTGACTGGAAGAGATCCACTTTTGTTCACCTTTTCTGATTTTGAACCATGCAGTGTCTCCTTGTTCTATTCTGATGACTGCATCCTGGTCCAAGTATAGATTTTGCATAAGCACAACCAAGAATTCCCATTCTTCTCTAGCTACAGTTTTTTGTGATCCACACAGTCAAACGCCTTTGCATAGTCAATGAAACACAGATAGACATTCCTCTTGTTCTCTGTGATTTCAGCTGAGATTCAACTAACAGTGGCTATAATGTTTCTAGTGCCATGGCTTTTTCTAAACCCAGACTGAACATCTGGCAGTTCCCTGTGCCAGTCATTTTAGGATAATTTTCAGTGGATCTTTCTTATATGTGATATTAATGATTGTTGTTGTTGTTATGTGCCATTGAGTCGTTTGCGACTCATAGTGAGCCTGTGTACAAGAGCCCTAACCGCCGTTCTATCCTGTGCCAACCTCAATGTCTCAAATACATTCATTCCCACCACTCTTCAATAATTCCCACACACTGTCAGGTCTCCTTTATTTTGGTTTTTGTTTGTTTTTTTTTTAACGGCAATAAATATGGATCTCTTCCAATCAGTTGCCAGTTTGTTCTCGAGATTTCTTGGCAGCCTTCAATGTGGATTGAAGCTCAACATCAAGAAAACAAAGATTCCTGCCAGTGGGCCATTTGGCAGCATCATAATAGATGGTGGAGAGATTAAGATTATTAAGCGCTTCAGCTTGTCTGGCTCCACAATCAACACTCTGTCTAAAGACTAAGGTACACCTGATGCACCTCACTTACTTGCTCTGATCAGAGAGCTGGACAGTGACTAAGGATTGTAGAAGAAGAATCAAAGCCTTTGAGTTGTGATTCTGGAGAAGAGTATTGAATATACCATGGACTGCTAAGAGATCAAACAGGTCTGTTCTGAAGAGGGTGAAACCAGACTGTTCCTTGGAAACAAGGATTTTGAAGCTCCATCTGACATATTTTGGGTATGCTTCCAGGAGAGACCAGTCCTTGGAAAGGCATATCATGCTTGGAATGGGGGAGAGACAGTACAAGAGAATAAGACCCAGGATGAGATGGATTGACTAAGTGACTGGGGTAATGAGAGTAGGTGTGTCAGAGACAATGAAATTGGCTCAGGATAGAGCAGCGTTCAGAAATGTTATACATAAGGTTGCTATGAGTCAGGGTCAACTCAACAACACATAACAAAACAAAAAACCCAAAAGAGTAGAATTGAAAAGATGGGACAGAAATTTACTGTGATGGAGGAGAAATTCCCGTGTTTTTTTAATCTGTAGCAGATAACTTAGTGTTCTGAATTGCTTCTCAGGAAGCTCCAATAACTTTTCTTCCTCTGAAAGGCTTTTTTGTTGTGTATTTTTGTACGACTCATAGTGACCCCATGAATAAAAGATCTGAACCCTATTCTATACTGTACCATCCTCACACTTGCTGACACACAAGAGCCCACTACAGCAGTCACTGTCAGTCCTCTTGGCTGAGGGTCTTCTCTCCTTTGCCAATCCTCCATCCTCCCCAGCGTCATGTCCTTCAAGGAATAGCCCCTCCTAGCAACATGCCCGAAGTATGTGAGGCTAAGCCTCATCATACTTGCCTCCAAAGAGCAGTCTGGCTGCACCCTCTTTAAGACATATCTTTGTTCTCTTGGCTGTCCATGGGATGTTCAGTGCTCTTCTCCAACACCACAGCTGAAAGGCATTAATTCTTTTTTCTGTCATCCTTATTCATTGTCCAGCTCTCAGATGCATAGCAAGTAATCAGAAAGACTAGCTATACCAATTAAATTGTGTGCAGCCATATCATTCAAGAAGCTGGACTGTGATTCATAACCAAACTGCTTTGTGCAGATGACACAACTTTGTAGATAGTGTAGGGGACTTGAAGCACTTGCTGTAGAAGATGAAAGACTAAAGCTTTCAATATGGATTACATCTCAGTATCAAGAAAACAAATTCTCACCACTGGACCAAGAGGCAGCATCATGATGTTATGTGCTGTTGAGTTGCTTGCGACTCTTAGCGACCCTTTGTACAACAGCCCTAAACCCTGCTCTATCCTGTGTCCTGTGTCAATCTCACTGTCTCTGACACACCCATCCCGATTACCCCAGTCACTGAATCAATCCACCTCATAGAGGGTCTTCCCCTTCTGCACCTTCCCTCTACCCTCCCAAGCATGATGTCCCTCTCGAAGGACCTCTCCCTCCTTACAACATGTCCAGAGTATGTCAGACGAAGCCTCAGAATCCTTGCATCCAAGGAGCAGCCTGGTTTAACCCTCTCCAGGATGAATCTGTTTGTTTTCTTGGCAGTCCATGGTACATTCAATACTCTTCTCCAGCACCACATCGCAAAGGCATCAATTTGCCTTCTATCCTCCTTAGTCATTATCCAACTCTCTGATACATAACAAGTGATTGGAAAGACCATAGTCTGTATTAGACGCACCTTAGGCTCCATAGTGACACCATTGCTCTTCAGTACCCTGGAGAGGTCCCTAACAGCAGACTTTTCCCATCGCAATATATTTTTTTTATTTCCTGGCTACTGGTGCCAAGAGTGTTGACCATGGAGCCAAGCAGACTAAAGTTGTTAACAATCTCAATCTCTTCACCATCCATCCTGATGCTGCCAGTTGGTCCAGTGATGAGAATCTTTGTCTTCTTGACATTGAGCTTCAATCCATACTGAAGGCTGCAGTCCTTGACCCTCTGTAGCAAGCGCTTCAGGTCCTCCTCAGTTTCAGCAAGCAGGGTTGTGCCATCTGCATAACGCAGATTGTTGATAGATCTTCCACCAATCCTGACACCACGCTTCTCCTCATAGAGCCCAGCTTCTCTGATAATCTGTTCTGCATACAGGTTGAAAAGGTATGGAGATAGGACACATTCCTGGTGTAGGCCTTTCCCAGTTTTGAACCATACAGTATTTCCTTGCTCTGTTCTGACGACTGCCTCTTGGTCCAAGTATAGGTTTCGCTTTAGAACGATCAAGTGGTCTGGGATTCCCATTCTTCTCAGAGTCAGACACAGCTTGTTATGATCCACACAGTCAAATGCCTTTGCATAATCAGTGAAACACAGATAGACATTCTTCTGGTATTGCCTGCTTTCAGCTAAGATCCATCTCACATCAGCTACAACATCTCTAGTACCACGACCCCTTCTAAACCCAGCCTGGACTTCTGGCAGTTCTCTACTGGTGTGCTGCTCCAGTTGTTTTTGGATAATCTTCAGTAGAATCTTGCTTGCTTGTGAAATCAATGATATCGTTCTATAGTTTCCACACTCTATTGGGTCACTCTTCTTTGGAATGGGAACAAATATAGATCTCTTCTAGTCAGTTGGCTAAGTGGTTGTTCTCCAGATTTCTTGGCACAACTTGGTGAGCACATTCAGGGCAGCATCTGTTAGCTGAAATATGTCAATTGGTATACCATCTATTCCTGGAGCCTTATTTTTTTGCTGTTTCCTTCAAAGCAGCTTGAAGTTCTTCCTTTATCACCATAGGCTCTTGCTCATATGTAATTTCATTAAATTCTTCTGTGTCTGCCAGTTACTTTTGATGCAGTGACTCTATATATTCTTTCCATCTTTTAATATTTCCTGGATGATTTAATATTCTGCCTAAAGCATCCTTGATTATAGCAACTCGAGGTTTAAATTTGTTCTTCAGTTCCTTGAACTTAGGAAATGCTGAGCGATAGATGGAGAAAAAATTGGAGTTGTCAACAATTTTGTTTTGCTTGGATACAGCAGTCAAGAAATAAAAATTTATGTTGCATTGGGGAATTTTGCTGTCAAGGATTATCTTTGAGATTCATCAATAAGAACTTCAAGTCTTCTTAATTGTGTCATCTCTATATTGCAGTCTGTTAAGACTTTCTCCAATCTTGATGCCACATTTTTCTTCATATGATCCAGCTTTTCTTATTTGCAAAGCATGCAGATTGCATGTACATAGTGAAAGGATACTACTGTGACACACATCTTTTCTGATTTTAAACCTTATAGTATCCTGTATTCTTTTTTAATTCCATTTTGGTCTATGTATAGATTCCCTGTGATCTGTACAGTTAAGTGTTCTGGAATTCCCATTTTTCTCAATATTATTAATTATTATGATCCACTTAGTCTGATGCCTTTACATAGTCAATAAAACAGAAGTAAACATCTTTCTGGTATTTCCTGCCTTCAGCTGTAATAGATTTGATGTCAGTAATGATGTCTCTTATTTCCCCAGCCTCTCTTGAGTACAGTTTGAGTTTCTGAGTACTCTATGAATGTGCTGTCTCAACTGTGTTTAAAATATCTTCATCAAGACTTTACTTGCTTGTAAGGTAAATGATACTATTAGGTAATTTCTGCATTGCATTGGATCACCTTTTTTGGCTTGTGCAAAAATATGGATCTCTTCTGATCAATTGGCCAAGATGCAGTTTTCAAAATTTCTTGGTATAGAGGAGTGAACATAGCCAGGGTTGCATCTGTTTGCAGTGAAGCACTTCATCTGGTATTCTGTAAATTCCTTGAGTCATATTTATGTAAAATGTCAAAAAGAAAGATGATTACTTGATTACTAAAATGTACCTGCCTCAAGCTGTGGTATTTTCAATTTGCTTGCAAAAGCTGGACAATAAATAAATACTAAAGAAATATCAATGCTTTTAAGTTAGGTTGTTAGTGAATATATTGATACCATGGACAGCCAGAAGAAGGAAATATTTATTTTGGACGATAGATTGCTATTTAGTAGTGAGAATGGCTAGATTTTGTGTCATATACTTTAAACAGGTTTTCATGAGGGATTTGTCCTGGAGAGGTACATCATACTTGATAAAGTAGAATCAGTGAAAATAAGGAAGACCTTCAATGAAATAGAGTGGCATAATGGATGCCACTAATAGATTCAAATATAGTAGCAATCATGAGATGGCACAGGGACCAGGAAATGTTTTCTTTTGTTGCACACAGGGTTAGGATGAGTCAAAATTGACTTGATGGTTTTAGTAGCAAAAATATGTATATGCAAGAAATCAATATTTGTTTCTGATATTCCTTTATAAAGAAATTAATTTAAATCTATGGTTAAAAATATAAGGAAAAGTAAGAGGATTGTGATTCATTTTGATCCCTTCTGATAATGTCCAAAGTATGTGACTTTATTTTTTGTAGCTTTCATTAAAATATGGGAAATTCCATAAAAACAGGAATGTTGTAATTTGTAGAAACAAATATTTTGCAGGTAATTTTTTGGTTTATTTTTGTTTTCAGCAGATTGCAAGACTTCATGAAACTAAGAAACTTCCTGAAACTCTGAAAGAAAAGAATAACATTAAAAAGAAGAAGGAATTGAAAGAAAGTTTCAGGTAAAACTTAAAATAGAGTTGGTTGGGATTTTGTTGTTGTGTACCATCAAATCTTATCTGACTGGTACAGAAGGAGATTGCCCCTCCTCCAGCAGAGCATCTGATAGATTCGAAGCATAATCCTTTGGAATTGAAGCACAGCTTCTTGCCACTAGGCCACCGGAGCTCCCTAAAAATAGAGTTTTAATGAGAAGATATTCTAAAAGTTTGCTTTTCTTATTTTATCCCAAGTATATAATAGTATTTGTGTAAGCTATTTTCTCCTCATTTTTAATGAAATTTTTTTAAGATAGACCTTTAAGTGTTTTGAACCAAAACCAGTACTTAAAACTCATTTAGTAAGGCCAGAGATTTTATGTATAGAGAATAGGGAAGCAATAACCTATGAATTGTTTTCCATGATAGGTCAGTAATATGAGTAAAAGGAGAATGAATGATGAGAATGACAGTGTCATTAACTTTATCATCATGTAACCAATTTTACCAATTCTCCTTTGCCATAGAAAATGAAGAGTGAAAGGATGCTACTGAATATGACTTCACATATTTCCTTACCTTTCATTGTGCTGTTGTTGTCAGGTGCCATTGAGTTGAGTATGTCTCATAGTGACCCTTTGAACAACGGATTTGGACCTTGCCCTATCCTCATTATCTGTGACATACTTGAGCCCATTGATATAGGCACTGTGTCTATTTTTCTTCTTCTCTTTTTCTGACCATCCACCTTTCCAAGCATAATGGAATGGCCCCTCCTAACAACATGCCCAAAGTATGTGAGATGAAGTTTTCCATCCTTGCCTTCAAGGAGTACCCTGGTTTCAATTTATCTAGGATAAACCTGTTTGTTCATTTAGTAGTCCATAAGATTTTCAGTACTCTTCTCCAACACCACAACTCAAAGCTATCAATTTTCTTCTGTCATCCTTAGTTATTGTCCAACTCTCAGATACATAGCAAGTAATAGAGACGACCATAACTTGAAACAAATGTACCTTAGACTAGAAACTGACATCATTGCTCTTTAGCACTTTGGAAGCATCCTTGACTGTAGACTTTCTAATGCTTCATACTAATGTTGTTAAAATAGACATCAGTGGTGGCCAAAAAGGTAGTGGGACATTAAAAAACGATTTCTATTGCCTGCACTATGTGGCAATAAAGTTCATGTATAATATTGTTTCTGATAAACTTTCTACTTTTTTGTCTATTAATACCTTTTTTGAATTCTTTTTAAGTTCTTTTCCTCATACTTCATTGCCCTTATTTAGATTTTTTGACACTCCTTTTTAAAATTAATTTTCCTGATATATTATTTTTCTTAATTTTTTACTCTAATACCTCTCATCTTATTTATACAACTTTAATTTTATAAGGAAATAAAATGGGAAAATAAATCAGTGTTCAGAATTTTACTATATTGACAATTTAAAAATATTAGAAGCATTTTGAATATTGAGGAATATTACATTACCGCTTAGTGATATTTCCTCAATATTTATTTTGGTATTTACTCTGTTTTTTAAGTCAAATGCTTCTTCTAGTAAAAAACTTAAGAAATTCATTTATGATTGTGATGTTGTTTTAATGATTTTTATAATCATGCTAGTTGATTTGTTTGTGAATAACAATTTATAGTAGCCTGGAACCTAAACTGTGCTACTTATGGTTAAAGCTTTGTTTTGAAATGTTTTTTAAGTCTTTAAAATTCACTCTTCTCTTTAGAATACTTGAAAAAGATGAACATGTATCTGCATTGGATAAAAATAATCAAAACAGTCAATTATTTCTTCCTTTTGAATCTCATAAATTAATGAGACAAATAAAAATGCATTCTTCAGAACAGAAAGTTAAAGGTAAAGTATCTATTAATTACTGGAAAAATTTATTTTATTTGCTAACAAAAGAAAAAACAGAAAAGAAACTGTTTTAGTTATCATTCATTTTAAGAAGCAAGGACAAAAATTCTGGAGTTCTATAAATTTAAGAAGTACCACTTTGATTCATTCTAATAACAAAAAAAGATATGTCTTCCTATACACTTTTTTACTTTGGGAAAGAGGTGATTTACACTCTATAAAAAAAGTATCCACATTAAAAAGTATCAACACCTCAAGGGAGCTCTGGTGGCCTAGTGGCAAGAAGCTGCACTCCAATTCCAGAGGTACACAGTTCCAACCCACCAGATGCTCTGCTGGGGAAGGAGGGACAGTCTCCTCCTGTACCAGTCAGATCCGATGTGACACACACACACACACACACACACAATAATAAAATAAAATAAAATAAGTATCCACACCTCATGGCCTTCTCTCTCAGAGGAGGATGAATATTGTATATATTTTTCATTTGAGGAGTTATGTTTTCAGTATGTGTGATTTAAGTTGAGTAGCTGTTAATGGTCTCTCTGACTCAGTCACTGAGATATTTTAATTGCTTTTAATTCAATGAGTCTGCAGGCTAGCTTAACTAAATTTACTGCACTGAGTTTTTATGTCCTCAATTGTTAACAGCCCTTTGAACCAGTTTGAGCTTGTTCATTCATGGTCAATGGAGAAAAATCTGTTCAGATCCTGATTTTAAAGAAGTATGTGTGTTTGAACAATTACCTGAACAGGGAAATGTATGGAATGAAGCCCTGATTGAGAGATTTAGAAGAGGATTATTGAACCCAATCTGCATCCTGATGCAGGAAACTGGATTATTGCTAGGGCTGCAGAATGTGCTAGTTGACCACCATCTATGAACAGAACATCACTGTTTCCTAGAGAGATGGTTGTTATGCAGAATGCACATGGCCTTTGTTTTGTAGGAGGCAGATTAAATTTATAGCAGGATATCAGTCCACAGATTTTCCTGTTCTTGTTATTGCTGTGGTCACCCACATTTTACAAATTTAGACCCTTTTAAGTTTCTTTTCATTGGTAGTGACTGATCCATAAAGGCCACTTTCAAGTCCTATATTTGTCCCTACTATAAAGGTGTAATCTTGTCTGCTGGAGTGTCAGCTATGACTTGTTGCTGATTCAACAATAGTAAGTTAGGGAGCCCTGGTGTTCCTGGGTAGGAAGTTGTGCTACTAACCTAAAGTCCTCACATCTCTTTTCTCCCATTCAATTTATAGTCTCATAAAACTTGCTGGACAGTCAGCTATAAGGCAGTTCCAACTTAGTAGCAATGTGTTGAGTTCAGTCTTATCATTGATTTTCATTTTGGGTTCAGAGTTCATTTTAACAGTTATATCATTTTGGTGAGCTCTGGTGGCCTAGGGGCAAGAACCTGTACTGCAATCCCAGAGGTAAGCAGTTAGAATCCACCAGATACTCTGCTGGAGAAAAAGGGACAATCTCCTCCTGTACCAGTCAGATCCGATTTGATGGTACATACAAAAATAATAAAACGTAAAAAATTTTAAAAAGTTATATAATTTTATAATTAG